GCTACAAGACCATTTCAGGCTGGACATAAGGAAGAATTTCTTTACTGTCCAAGCTCCCAAGGCCTGGAACAGCCTGCCATTGGAGGTGGTTCAAGCACCTACATTGAACACCTTCAAGAGCAAATTGGATGCCTATCTTGCTGGGATCTTATGACCCTAGCTGATTTCCTGCCCTTTGGGTGGGGGGCTGGACTCGATGATCTTCCGAGGTCCCTTCCAGCCCTGATGTCTATGAAATCTATGAAATCTCCTTTTTCTCACAACTTAGCCATTTTGAGCTTCAGTAGTCAGTATCAGGAAAATGAAAACAAAATGGAGGTCAACAATAAATATATCCAGAATTTGTCAACACACTGTAATAATCTGGCATTAGATGGGCTAAACATTGGAGCATTTTCTAAATGTGAGGGTGTTCACATGCAAGTTTTTTATTCAAACCCAATTATATGGATGATTACATACAAGGAGAGGGACAAGGCAGAAATGCCACTAATGGTTGGAAAAAGACAATTCATAACTATGCAGTATCAGTTTTGTTTATTTATACTGTAGGACCTTTAAGACTCTGCTGCACAGTGCTTAGTGACTGTGGCCTCAAACCTCTACACACACACACACTTTATTTAAATAAAGCTATGAGCCAAAAGAAGCTTTACTGAGGCTCAGAGAGCAAAGGATCTTACTTTTCAGAAAAAGATTTTAGGAGAGGAAGGGCCTCTTGGGTGAAAACACACCAGGAACAGAAACTTTTTCCATCACTGACAGCTAAAAACCTAATGTCTTTTTATGCATGCCAGAGATCCATGCCCTCAACCTTCAGATAAGACTACTGAAACATGCCATGCCAAGAATTACCAAAGACCAAATAGGAACCCACTAGTCAAACAATGCTCTGATTTCTAAATGAAACAAAAATCAAAGCATGTCAGTGTTTCACATATATGTCGACATTCTATGTAAAACTGATTTCAAGGCACAGTGCATAAATTTTTAACAGCTGGGTCCCAGCTATTTTATGTACCACCTTCTCTCACCCTCAAGAGGCAATTGGACAGCTATGATGTCACTATCTCCAGGGTCAACTCTTGGGAGCCAAGGGAAAGAGCACTGTTGCTAAAGAACTCAGTACTCTGGGACTCTCAAGAAAGGAGAAAGATGAGCCCAAGTCCTGCCATGGTGAAGGGATGTTGAAACATCCTCTTGACTTTGCATTATTATTGTAAAAGACATGCACTAAAGAGACCTGGCAACATTCACCTGGAAACAGTCCCATCACTGGCACAATTATGTCACTCTTAGTTTTTGTAATCTTTGCCTAAGCAGGGAGTATTGGAAGCACTATAAGCAAACCAAACATTTTATCTGTCATTATTTCTTCCAAAATGGCACTGCAGAAGCTACACAAAGCAAGAGCTTGGTGCAGAGTAGCTGTCTAAACAATAGGTTTGAAAGGATTCCATTTTTTAAATCAATAAATAGTGATTTCACGGCATACTCAGAGACAGGAAAATATTTCCATCGGTAATAACTGAAATGTATAGAAAGGGAACTACCAGGGAACCCTTAGCTCTGTTACTGGACAGTGGAGAAAGTGATGGAAGGACAGAGGACACAAGGGCTAAAGAGAAAAACAATGGGCACCCTACTGACTGGTCAGTTAAACAACTAGCTATTTTTCTGGCATAATAACTCATCAGTTAGCTGCATATTCACAGATGCCCAATGGGCTGGAGAGAGATAACAGGCTACTTTAACAACCCCCTATCCAAAGCCCAAATGGGAGAGAAGGAAGAGTATTCAAGGCTCCAGCTTGGCGGCAGCAGGGTCCTGCCCAGGCTGGACTGAGGTGGCTAAGTGTGCAAGAGGGTCGGGGAGGCTGTCTCTCCCCCTGTTCCCAGAGCTCTGGGAGTGCTGCTACCCGTTTCTTTCAGTCCCCACCTGTCCAGCTCTTTCCTAATGAATGGACAGAATGATTTAAGGAAGATACGATTTATTGCTTTATGAATATTTACTTTTTTATATTTTGACTAGGAGCACCCTCAGGGGAGGCATGGCGGCATATGTCTCCCTCAGATCTGTGCAGTGTGAAGGCAGGCTGTCTGCTGACTGCGCTTAGGGCTGGGGCTACTCCAGCCTCTTCCCAGTCGCTACAGTCAGGCCAGGTGGGGCAGGGCAGGTAGCAGCAGTGCCGGAAGGGGATCTACAGCAAATTTTGGGGTGGCTCTAGCCCCCCTCTGCAGTTCCGGCCTGAGTGCAGCTGCTGGAAGGAGGCTGGAGCAACCCCAGACCCTAGCATGCAGCAGGGAACCTGCCCCACCCCAGCTAGGCAGCGCTTGGCCCTGCCCCAGCCCCACTTCCATCCTCACCACAGAGGCCTTGATCTGCACCCCCATTCTCCTTCCCCTCCACCCCCCAACAGACTTACTAGCCAGATGCTGCTCTCCTAGCTGCTGGGCTGCATTCCTGGCTGCGTGCTTGCTGTGGCTGCATGCATGTATGCAGCATTTATCAGCAACATTATCGGCCATATCAGGCAAAAAAAAGCCAACTGCCAATAATGTTAATTTTCCCTTTATCAGCGCTGATACAATATGGATTGATATATCAGTGCACCTCTAATTTTGATATGCGATTTTATAAAGCTTTTAACAGTACACTGTCATTAATAAATTGTCTGCTGCCCACACCTTTAATTTCTTTCACTCCTAAAAACTGAAATAGATAAAAATCGAAAAATTGCCAATTTGCTGCATTCCTGAAAACTCAAAAATCTAAAATGCTTAAAAATATACATTGATTTTAGTGGTTGAAATTATTACAAAAAATAAAACCCACAAATTTTGCCAAGCCTAACAATACAGGATTACCATCTACTCATGTCTGCTATTGAAAAGACAAATTTTAACTCAATGTAGCAATCAAGTACTAATTCATAAGAAAAATGAGAGAAACCTGGTCAACTATGCAAGATGCATGAGCATGGTACAACCTACACAAGTATCCTCAATTACCTTCCCGTCTTCTGCTCTTCCACGTAGCACAACCAGGGAGCCCTGAAAAAGCACCATTTCCCACCCCACACCACCTTCCCCTCTCAACATTTAAAAGCTTTTTCTGGGAGGGGAGGGGGAAGTCTAGTGATGCGTGTGAAAAGTTACCTTTGAAGCAAGGCGTCGCACTGAATCACCAGTTTGATTTTGATGCTCAGGAGTACCAGGAGAACTTAGAGACTTCACTGTATTGCTACCATTTGTGGAAGGGGCAGATGAAGATAACTGTGTGAGGGGAATCTCCTGACAGGGGTCACCACCTAAAAAAAAATTCACAGACCAAAAAGTTGCGATAAAGGTCTAATGCACTGGGGTAGCATTATTTTTGCGAGCTTGCACATGCACACACACACGCTATCATCTGTAACTAGTTACTGACTAATGCAGCTATACATTATCATCTTTATAGAGGGATTTAACTAACCTCTGTGCTGAAACAACAGTAAATAAGGAAAGCAGCAGAAGGATTACATATACAAGTACAAAAATGCTGCTTAAAAGTGTGTTTATGGAGTACCTATGCTAAAACTTGCAGCAGTTTCAGTGAACAATGTGTCAATTCTGGATGTATGAAGTCTACAGGTACCTGTAGTAATTGCCTATATGCAAATTTTGCCCCTCTCTTACACATGTTCAGGGAGAGCAGGATCTGACACTGATGAAGGGGGGAAGAAGTTGGGAGACGGGGCAGAGGGGAAGGGGGCTACCTGACTTCTTAGATTTATTTTCCCTTTTGTAGCAGTGCAGGGGATGGGGGGCAAATTCAAGGCAAATCTCCAATAGGTAGACTGTATACCTGGAAAAGTTTAATAAATGTATAATTTTTCCATATATAGAATCTAATTATTGGGGGGAGTCATCTAATATTCAGGGTCATCTTATATTTGAGTAAATACGGTAAATTAAGAGCTCAATCATGCAGTGTTTTATGGATTAACATTGGGAAATGATCACTCTGGGGCATCCTCCTCTCCCAAAGCCAAAAACTGATGGAAGAAAGTCAAGATAACAGTCAATTGCAGCCACTCAGCCAGAAAGGTTTGGTGTAAGGACAGAGTGGCAGGAATAATGACTTCAACAAATACCTCATTTTTAAGGGGGCTTACTACTCCATGCTAAGGATGTAGTTGTCAAACCATGCCAGGTTGATGGCATCTCTTTCTCTTCCCCACCCACCTTATGGAGGAATGCGTGTAGAAAACAATAAGGTCTGTAATTATTTGCATCTGATTCTTTGTACTAACACAATAACTTACATCATTATTTACAAGAGAAACATACTTTTGGGAGATGAATTAGGACTGTTCGATGCAATCTGCCTCATACGACTTCCATGGCAGCTGAGTGCCACCAGTCTTGAAACAACAGCAGTCTTCCCAAATCCCACATTTCCAATAATAACTGCTCCCCTGTTTTCTGCCAGCTCTGTATTCTTCAAGTTTTCTTCAATCACTTGAAACAGCCAATCTCTTCCAACAAACACAGAGTCTGTTGTTATGCTTGGCACTTCAAACAATAGTGGCTTTAGTAAGATGTCTTGAGGCTTATAGGGGACAAAACGTGCTGAGGAGGGCATAAGGAAAATGTAAGTAATTATGCAATAAAAGCTTATTCAAATGCAGCATCATTTTTAGAAGACCATTTTGAAAACTTTTGCAGGATGTGTTTGCAATTTATTTTATTCCTTTTAATGTGAAAATGTTTATAGCTGGTTCACTGAACTGACTAAAATTAACATCTCTAGTGTGAATTAAATCCTATTTATGATAAAATGCCAATAATTGTTGGGATTTTCTTTCAGGTATGGATGAACCTTGAAAGTGAAAATGCTGCTGTGCTGTGATTGCTTGAAATGTTATAAAAAAAATCAAATGTGTTGTATATTCATACTTGAAAAACACTATAGAATTCTCTAATTCAGGACTTGCAACAAATAGTTTACAGAAAGAGAAATAGAAACGTGATTATTTTGCTTCAAAATACAAAAATATAATCATATGAGAGTTAAAGGAGGAACATAGCTGTGCTTGGTTGAAAAAAGTTATGTTTACAATTAGGTGCAATTTGACTGCTTGCATTTTTCTGTTTTTAATTAAGCATTACTGGTCATTTAAACAGAAGCAGTAGGTGACCAAGTAGAGAAGAGTAAATAAAACGTTTGCACATCACCTGAAAAGAACAAAATCCCACCGTTTTCTAGCCCCAAAGCCAGTTTAAATTGGATTATCCGCATAGCACTGCACATATTAGAACCAACCAAATGTGACTTAATCACTTTTCTTTCATATATAAGGTTCATGTACAAAGATATTTTCAAGATTCTCTTTAAGTATTTTTGGTTTCTTTACATACAGTGTACTCTGTGCTATCTGGATCATGTGGAGGATACTGGATACATGTACTTAAGCTGTACTTCAGACGAATCAAGGGACTCCTTAATTTAGCTTTTCAATATTGAAGGAATATTGGATACATGAGGTACAGAAGATCCAGGCTGTATCTGCTACAACTGTCTGTCTGTTGCAAGATGACCAGAAATGTATAAATACCTTTAATTTCTTGTTGTACTCTTCCTCCCGCAGTATTATGCCAAGGTAAGCGAATTGAGGTGCGTAGGGGAGTATTCCTTTGTCCATCCAAATAACTCAAATCTTCAAGCTTGGTTGAACTTGTTGCTATAATAATAAATACCGAAGTTGATATTTTCCTCCACATAAACAGTTGCACAGAACAAAAATATGTATAATACTATAACATATAATTATGTATACAATATATTACAATATTGTAAGTGTGTTTATGCCTTCAAAACAATTTATTCATTAATATTCCTGAAGAGTTACATTTCCAGAAAGACTAAAATTTTTGATGATTCTGGCAGTTTTCCTCTGTAAACAGAGGTATAAAGTAACTTTAAAAAATAAAGTATTTTGAACATCTCACCAACTCACAAAAAGTATCCTTCTTTAATTAGATACATTCTGTTTGGTTTACATTTGTACTATGAAGTATTACCACAAAATTTAAAATGCTAAAATGCCCAGTGAGAAGCTAAGAAAAGCACAAGCGTTTCACTGAATTATGACAAGTCTGGCATTCAGAAATTATTTAGTAAAGCTTCAATACTTCCAAGAAGAAACACAGCAAGGTAGCTAGATGACTCTTTTGCCCCAGTGATTTCATTCATAGTTGCTGGCAATCCAAATCTTGCAATTAGACAAGCAGACATTGTGTGCACTACTTCACCATATCCAGTACATTAACAATCACCCCATTAACTGCACAACTCTATGCATATAGAAATAGTTTTCTGAATCCTAAAAGCTCTTACTTGGAAAAGAAATCTTCTGCAATGACAGACAACCAACCTCAGAATTTATGCAATAAAAATGTTGATTCTGCAGTATAATGGTACACTACCCACTTTTGCTAAGACTGAGAGCATGTAACATGCTGTATGTAGCAAGCCTAAGAGTGCACATCACTTAAATGGACGCTTTCCAGTATTACTGCAGTGCTTGGTTGAAGTCATTCACATTGTATAATTTATATAGTGTTTTGGGATCAAAGGCACTTAAGATTACACATCTTTCTGTACTACCAATTAGGTCTTCTTTCCATTTTCCAGACACTCATTTCCCCTTTCTCTCCCTTGTGTTTCAAGCAATACCAACATTCACATGGTTTCTTGTTTACTTTCTGGTAGAAAACAACCCTAACTTTGATGTCAACAGCGCATTGCGAACAGGGTTAGCTGGTTAATTGTTGCTACAATAGTTAGTAGTTAGATCCTGCATTCCTTTTCACTGGACTAAGCAAAATGATGGAAATAAAGAAAAAAGTTAAGAACAAAGAGGCACTCATTCAAAGTTTTGAGACAGGCTAGGCGCATTTGAGTAGTGATGGACAACATTTTTAGTGCAGAAACATTTCACAGAACAACTTGTACTCTGACTGGGGGGGGGGGGGGAAATCAGCAAATGTGTCCAATTCCAAGCTGAATTCCTAACAGAAAAATATACTGAAAAAATAATTTTAACAGACATGTGATTTTTCATTTTATAATGTCTACAAGTTTAAAGTCTGTCTAAATATAGTTTAAGAAGAGCTGAACCTGAAGATGAAACAAATAATTTAATTTGATCTGAAAAAAAAAAAAACCCAACTTTCTCCTTGTTTTTTTTCACATCAACAAGAAAACTAAACCTTTCTTGTGTGGACCCCACCCTTTCTTTGACCAACAAGTCTAGAGCCAGTGAATCAACAACACTGGAGACTCTCCAGCTATCCCCTCCATACGTGGGAATGCAGCAGCCACTGGGCTACAATTCTGAGCCTGCATTTCCAGCTGTTCTGACTTGGCAGTCCTCTGCAGGTTACACCAACATGAAGCCTGGTTCTTTACTCTAAGTCACATCTTAGATCTAGTCCATTAATAGCTCCTTACAACAAGTTGTTTCTCTTAATCTAGATAAGGATTTCAATTCTTATTTATTGTGGAAAGCCTTCAACATCAAATCTGTTATTTTCAGATGCATTCATTCCACAGCACAGCAAATGCTGAGAAACAGAACCAAATCCCAGGGTCAAGCCAAGCAATTTTATTTTAATTATAAATAACATTACAACTGTCAATATAAATACATGCAGTACAGGCTGTGGTGCCTTAAAGTCTATTTTTAAACTGTATTCAGTTTGTTTACTCAATAGCCATTTTACTTTAGTTGCACATGTCTCAGGTATTGAACACAGTGGCTGTCACTTGAATATTTTTGGATCAGAGATTATACCTTGCAACATGTGGACAGTACCTAGCACATTCAAGTACCAAGTAATTCAAGCCCTGTGCCTTTGAGCCTGTCTACATTACAGGGCTTCTGCTGTTACCAATATGCCAGCAGAGCCCTCTAGTGGAAACTAGATATATACTGGCAGAAGAGTTTTTTCCTGCCAGTGTTGTTACCACACTTTTCCAAATGACACATGTTAAACCAACAGAAGCCCTCTTCTGTCAAGGGGTTTGCCAACATAGTACTCAGCTACAGGATGTGATCTTTCCACATTCCTAGTCAATATAACTATGCCAGCAGAACTTGTAGACAGTAATCCAGCCTTTGTAAAACCACACACAGCATAAAGCCCAACCAGTCCCACGTACCATGTGGGACTGAGCCAGGCACATGCTGCACACAGCACCCAGTGCCAGTCCAGGGCACACACTGCACATAGCGCCTGAGCCAGGCTGTGGTGTGTGCTGCATTTAGTGCCTGCACCAGATCAACTCTGCACACTAGATCTGGGGCCAGTCCTAATTCGGTCAACAAACCAGCCCCATGTGCTAGATCCAGCACGCAGGGCATCTGAAGTGGGCACCACATGCAACACATATCTCAGGCCAGTCCAGGTACCAGGCACTGCACACATCCTGACCAGCCCCATGCACTTTACATGGCCAGTGCAACATACCAGGCAGATCCACGGCATGTGCTACATGCAGCTTCTTTACTGCACCAGCCCCACATGCTGGATCTGGAGCACAGGCCAGTCTGTGAGCCCATTCTGGCCCACATGCTGGCCCCACACCCCTTTCCCAGTCTGCAGGACCAGATCACTTTGACACTCCTGATCTCCATTTTAAAAGATGAAGGTCCTTAAGTTATCACCAATTAAAAATCGATCTTCACAAAGCTGTGCTTCATATGTACAGTATAGTCATCAGTTTTTCTAGTCATCAGAAATCCTTGTTAATTGAAGGAGATCTAAACAGAGTGATACAGAATCCTCTTAATCCTCCTAAAATGTTTGCATAAACTAAATCCTACTTCATGTTATGTGCCTAACTGGCATTTCCACAGCTGCGTATTCACTATCTGCTTGTTTTGGTACTAGCATACAGTTTAAATTCCCAGTAACAGAGTTTGGATTCCACCCTTCATTTGACTATTGACATGTTCACTAGGCTGCTTTAATGTCTGTGTAAGTGCCTACGGGCAATATAACTGCCTAGGTACAGACATAACACCCTATAAGCGCCAAAACTTTTGTTGCCAAAAAGCCACAAGTACTTGGTGTTTATTGCCACAGGAGGAAGAAGACCCTCCCTGCCTTTTAACCCAATAGTTTAGCAGTTGCCAGGAACAGAAGATGCTGGATTTGAATCTGCATCTCCTGCTTTCCAGCAAAATGCCCCACCTACCATGAGCCAGGTATTTACCAACCTCTCTCCAGCCTTCCCCATGAAGTTGACCAAATGGATAGCCAGGAGAAGAACAAATCAGAGGAAGAATGACTCAAGACAGATGCTGTTGTGAAAGGGAGGGGGCCCAAAAGCCCCCTGGAAACCATTCATTTAATCTAATAAACATTTAATACAAGGTGCAGTGGGCCAGCTTCAAGCTAGAGAGTGTCTGAACAATGCCTTCCCTACCACAGGAGATGCAAGAAAAGCAGGTTCAAGCCCCTGGTAGGTGACAGGGCCTTCTGTTCTCTGAGCAAGTGCCCTAGCTACTAAGTTATTGGGCTAAAGGTGAGTGGATCTGCTTCCCCTGCTATCACCTTACTTCTGCAAGGTAAACATGCTGGGCTCTCTTATACCACCACAGGTGGAATCCAACAGAATCCAATTTGTACGCAAGCGCAAAAAATACCATTAGGCAGTTACATAAGTGCCATTTAAGCACATGGAGGTTAAACAGGATTTAGGCCACTGTCAACAAGGCTGATAATTAAAATGTTTGTTGACAACTTCTGGTGCAGTTTCACATAAAAGACCAACTCACTTCATATGTCAGTGAATTATGAAAATGTAGCCCACATCTTGCACCTATACAATGGAAAGATCCACAACTCATCCAATCTTCTGTCTCCTTATTAAACCAAATGCATTAGAAAAAGAGAACAACGCAGTACAAAGTAATTGCTAGTTAAGATTTCATGAAAGTGAGAAGGTAGCACACAAGTAGACAGTAACTCTACAAATGCCAATAATAAAGACACCTGGGGTCCTGATTCAGCAAGCTGCTATGGCAAAGAACAGAATAATGTAGAATAATCCATCTGCATGAAGCCCTTTTACCAGGCTTAGATCTCTGAGAGCAAAATATTAGCACATGAAACCATAAGAAAGGCAAAATGTTCCCAAATATATCCTTGCAGTATTTTTAGTTTTATAATTATGTATAATAGGAGAAAAGTTGTGAAATTTCATTAGGATTCTTTGCCTCTGCTTAATCTAAGAGGTTTGATTCACTGAACAAAATGAAGCTAATAGCAAGCACAGCAGAAAATTGGAAAACTCCATTCTGAAGTCTTACTAGTCTCCTCCCTTCCCCCCACAGACTTTGGTAAAAAGACCCAACACTGTACAAGAGGTAGCTGAAACACAATCCTGCACTTAACAGTGGTACTTACACTGTTTCAAAATTAGCATTCAAATTATTTTCGAGGTATTTTAAAGCCTCCATCAGATTATACATACACCAAGACCAGTTTTGGTGGATTTCAATTAACAAATTTTACAACAATACAACTAAATCATTCAGTCAAATTTTAAATAAACAAATTATAATCAACATCAATCCTAACTATTACTGGTGAACCTTGAGTTCTTGACAATGTTTGCTACGTTATGTACTGGAATATTTTTCTGTTGCAGTTCCAATTTACTGCAGTTTGTTGGACATCCTTTCTGGACTAATGCCATTATGCTTCCTTTGAAAATGAAATGGAGAATATGTCCTAGTGTTTTCCCAGCAGACTTATTTGGGGCCCCAGATTTAAAAACAAAACACAAAGCTCTTATCACAGACTAGCTCTGTAAACTATGTAGCAATGAAGTTAACCCCAGTTACCATTCTCAGATCTTAAAGCTCTTTTAGTACTGCTAACTATTGCTATCGGAAATCCCAGCTCTCAGTGTTTACAGGATTCAGTCCTTATTCACCACCACAAATATTAACTTAGGGAATTAAGGTCAGAACATTTCAAGTTTAAACTTGAACTTACACCCACAGTAACAGTCAGCCATTTTCATTTAAGGTCTCAAACAGAAGCTCCCACTTTTACTGTAAAATGTTGACAATATTCTGCCTCAAGTCAAGACTATTTTTTCCTTCTCTCCATAAAATCATTAACCAATGCCAAAATACAGTTGTTTTTAGAGGGGTCCTGCTCTCTACATTTCCTGGATTTTTTTAATATACTTTTCATTTTTGTGTTTTTAAACTGAAATGGACTGTTGTAGATGCAGTACTTGCAATTCTGGAAGCTTCATATCATCTTAAGTTATCAAATCAGGTTGCACGTGAAAAAAATACAGCACAGCACCCGGAATTCAATGGACTCTAGTGCTGATGATCACAACAACAACAACAACAAAGATTCTAGCTCATTTTTTCAGAGCTGTTTTAACTCTACAATATTAACAAAAATAGTAATAAAACTATTATGATCACTAATGTAAGCACATACACAGTGAATGAACAGGTTGGCTGAATTAGGAGAAATCTGTACACTAGTGCTTTAAGATTGAAAATGTTACCTTAAATCTATCTTGAACAAACCCAAACTTCAGACTTGACAGGAACATAAAATACACACTCACATTCCAGTATTGACAGCTTTTATTAAATAAACTAACAGGTTAACATAACTGGAGTTTCCTATGGGGCACATCTTGGCACCAATATTGTACCTTTAATACCAAACCTCATGCTGGTTATGTCACTGTACTGTTATGTTACTAAAAAATCCCTCTTCCTCTGTCAGTACTTCCTTACCTGCAACAGAATTGGGACGAGGCATTACTAACGAGCTAGAACTCTGTGTATAGGGAACAGGACCATCTGCACTAGGCACTTCTGCTTTGGGCAAACTCTCAGCAGCTCCAGCTGCCTCCTCTTCTGCAACTGGTGAACAATTATCTGTCCTTCGATCATGAATAATTCCTTGATGCACACCAGTTCTGAGACTTCCATCTTTACTCCACTCCAAACTGGATCCACTGCGGTCATCATTTTCAGATGAACTTGTTATAGTTGCTGAAAAAATAATAAAATCCTGAATACGCTCTAGAAGAGAAAGAACCACCGTGACACCTCAGCATTAGCACATTATATTTTTACTACATGAATGACTTTCAAGCTCATAATGATATTATCCAAATAATTTTTCACAATGTATTTTGTTAAATTAGAAAAATGCTTCTTATCAAAGGAAATAAACTGCGCAATCTGCTACAATCCCTCTGCCGGCAAAAAGGTCTGATAAAGTAGATAATGAAAAAGCAGTTCAGAAGAACCCTGGAGCTCCTAGAAATCCATATAATTTGTTAGG